CTCCATTGTTTTCATGATGATGGTACAATAATATGAACGAATGATCTCAATTTTACTGTTACAAAACCTTTCATGAATTATTTACATGTTTTTATAATTAATGTATATAACAATACTTAAATAATAAATGTAATGTAAAAGCAAAAATGTATAAATGTAAATATAAGAATGCAAACTGTGCAATGTAAAAGCATACATAAAAGTATGAATACAAAATGAAAATGCAAAGATGTGAAATACAAATACATGTATGAAAAGGTGTTACTCAAGAGTGATCATCTTAGAATAGATTTCATTGAACACAAAAGTTTACGTGAATTAAACAAAACTTTTACATGTAGGGGATGGCTTTTACTCCTAATTTCTCTATTTCCCTTAAAAGCCATTTTTATTTCCACTCATGTTCAGTTGTGGAGTTATCAATCTGCCTTAACTCTCTCATGAAACCAGCTAAGTCCACCAGCTTATGAGCCACATTGTTTGCTTGAGCAGAGGCTTCCTTCATGTTATTGTCTTTTTTCTTCATCTTTTGCATTAACTCTCGAAGTTGTAAACAATATTGTTCATTTTTTCTTGTGAGAGAATCTTTATGTTCAAGAAGTTCTCATACAAGATCTCCATAATCATCTAAACATTTCTTCAATGTCTTGTTCTTGTCTATATTGGCTTTTAATTTAGTATCAATCTCATGTTGATGGATCTGATATGATGCTTCCATATTGGTCATAGCATTATTCAACCTTTGATTGTCGACTTGATATATTTTCTCGATTCAATGACAGTTGTATTGAGTCTTTCTTCTGCAACTCGTAAATCATGAGAAAACTTCTTGGCTCATCCTTCATTTATGTCGCAATTCTTTTTCAGTTTGGTGACCCCTGTTATCCACTCTTCTGGGGTGTTTCCTATGCCAGCATTTTAAAAGGCTTGACTGACCTTCTGGAAATCTTCCTGTATGGTTTCCATTTTGGTGCTCAATTTATCGTTTTCAATCTTCAAATGACGTATTTGAGCCTCAAACCTCAGCAAATCTTCTTCTTTTTGGGCGCCCCTACTGATACTCTTACATTTGAAGACTTTTGGTATTAATCTAGCAGGACCTTCGGTTACCAAACTAGGTCAATCATCTACCATAAATTATAAGGTTCCATGATCCAAAAGACTTTGGACTCGACGTTTGAAGGCACGACAATTCTCAATAGTATGTCCTTGAGCTCCAACATGATATTCACAATAAACGTTGATGTCATACCAATTCGGATATGGAGGTTGGAATGGTTTTATGTAGTACGGAGCCACTTCTCGTGGTTTAAATAGTTTCTCATATAATTCTTTATATGATATAGGGATAGCATCAAAATGAGAACTGTCTTTCGTCTTGGATTGAACTTGAGTTTTAGACCTCGGGAGCAGACTAAACTTCGACGATTTCAAATTGCATGATTTCTTCTCATCTCTGGGAATTTTTACAGTTGTCACCATTTCCTGGGTATATCCAGACGATTTGTGAATATGAATGATGACTGTCCGTAATTTCTCCAATTGGTTAAGATCCAAAGTTTCATGCATATCTGAGATTGCAGGATTATGTTCATTGACCTTTATTTGTGCAGGAATCTCTTTTCCTTTGGCCAAAACAAATATTCTTCCCATCATCTTGGATATTTGCTCTCTTATTTCTCGTATCTCCTTTTGCTCTTCAATGGGCATACGATCTTTGGGTGCATAGCTCTCATCTATCCTCGGAGTTCCCTCATGATGCCATTCCTTAGCCGTGTCATATTTTGTTTGATCATAAAACTTTTTTTTCCATTTATGAAGTCTTTCCAATTTGATGAACAGTCTTTCAAGTCAACACCTTTTGGTTATGCCATGATCATGCAATACAGACAAAAGAATATAAACAAATTAGAGCAATGTAACATGCATGGAAAAAATAAGAAAAAAATAGAATATGTAGTACCAACTAATGGAATGAAAAAGATTCTATCTATCAAGGTATAAATCCTAACCTCATGTTTTCTAGTTTCATGCGTTGTTTGGAAAAATTAACCTAACTGCATGATTTCTAGTTCGCATGCATTTATTCAGAGAGAAAAATAATAAATTAAATAAATTAAAAGCTAGAGCTTATTTCTCCTTTGTGTACACCTACGGACAGAGGTTCAGTATTGTCTTAGATCAGTAGGGTTTTGGTTCTAAGAGTAAAGGTACTCGAACTGTCCTTGTTGATGCCCCCTTGGGCTACCAACCCTCAATCCTATTCCATCACAGACTTAAGCGGACCGAGTTCAATTCGAGGGGACACATTTCTTTATGCCTGACACGGAGAATAAATTCTCACGAAGACATAGAGCATATGAACCCCGAAAGCTACTTGCTAGGTCTGACACGGAGAATAAATTCTCACAAAGACGTCGCTTTCACTCCCACTTAAAAGGGATAAATCTCAGTTATAGAGATTATGTTTATGCAATGCAAGTGTTGTGTGTGAGGAGAAATATACAGATTTCTAACAAACAATTAAATAAAAATGAAATTTAACACCTTTAAATAAAATAAAAACAATCATAAAGAAGAATATATAAAATATTACAAAAATAATAAGTATATGTATAAAAAATTTGAAAGGAAAGAATTATAAATTAAATATATGATTTTTTAATTTCTAATTAATGGAGACAATTTATAATTAATTTCAAAGCTTGACTTTCCCCAGCGGAGTCGCCAAGCTGTCGTAACCGGTTTTCGCTCGGGCACGAAATTTTTACTTGGCGGGAAAAGTGATGTAAATAAATAAATTTTTTTTAAATGTTTAAGGAGTCGCCATCGGCCTTTTAGGTCAGGTAGGTCGAATACCTAAAAATTATCTTTTAAAAGAGTTTTTAAGAAAACATCAATTAAAAGATAAATTGGTATGCGTTTTAACCAAAAATTTGTTCTTTTTAATAATAAAAAGTGATTCGTGGTAGATTACGTTTGGGGAAGGATTAGCACCCCCACCACGCCCAAAATTGGTACTCATTAATTATAAATTGTCTCTATTATTGGAAATTTAAAAATTTAAAAATATATTTAATTTATAATCTTGTTATTTTACATTTATTAATATAATTCAAAGAAAATCTATTAATTTATATATATATAAATTTATAAAATATTTATTTACTTTAGAAATATCAGAAAAGGACTTCTAGGTGCTTTAAGACAGTTCATTTCTTAATATTAAAAAATAAATAAATATTAATAAAACATTTCTATTAAAATAAATTAATATATATAATTTATATAAAAATAGGATATTTATTTATTTAAGAATATCAAAAAAAGACTTCTAGGTGCTTTAAGACAGCCCTTTTCTTATATATTAGAAATAAATAAACATTATTATTTAAACAAATATATATATATATATATATATATATATATATATATATATATATATATATATATTTATAAAACTAAGATAAAAAATAATAAAAATAATAATTAATGCAATAATCAAAATATAAAAGTAATAATAAAATAATATTGCAAATAAATAATGATTAAAATAAAAGAAATTAAAAATATAGTATTAAAATGTAGAATATTTAAATTTGGTATTCTACATCAAAATATCATAAGATCTAGGGGCCTATAGTGTAATTTAGACTTAATAATATTAATCGGTGATAAAAAATAAATATTAATTAAATTATGAGGGACTAAATAAGGTATTTAACCTAAAATATATAAACATATATATAAACATATATATAAACAGTGATTAAATTATAAAAATATAAAAATTAAGGGACATTATTCAAAATACCATAAAGCCTAAATATTATCAGTGTAATTTAACCTATATAATTATACAGGATTAAATTAAATTTGTTTAAAATTAAAAGGATTAATCATGGTATTTTACCTTAAGCATATAAACATACAGGTAAGGACTAAAATAGAATAAAATAAAATTCGAATATAATATTAATATGTTCATAAATTGATTTCAGTGGCTAAAATGGAAGTTTATAAACTTCAGGTGACCGCGCGTGTAATTTAACTATTTTGAAATTACAGCTAGACCCCTCATCAAAACGACGCCGTTTTGATGAGGGTATAAATACCCTAAAATTGGCTCTTTAGGCCAAAATTCTTTCATTTCTCAATTTTCATTCTCTCTCTTTCAGAAAGAGAGAAAAATTTCTCTCTAACAACCTCCGCCCGGAGGGAGCCCAGGGTCCGGCCGGCAGCCGTCTGCCGTCGCCGACCACCACCGCCGGCCACCGTGAATAGTGGCCAGAAATTACAAAATAATCCCAAATGAAAGCTCTATTTACCCTAAAGCCCGATTTAAGGTTGTTTTAACCTAAATGCTTACCAAACGTCGTAGATCTGGTATAGTTTCCTTCGACGATTTGGTTCTCCGGTGGCTCGTGGAGGCTACTCGATGGTAAGTTTCTTCTCTCTTTCTTTTCTGTTTGCTATTATGGGTTTATTTTTGCTGTTGTTGGTATTGTTTGGTTGGCTATCGGTCTTCCTCCCCTCTGTTTTTTGCTCTCTGTGTCTCTCTGTGGTTACTGTCTTCTCTCGGGTTTTCTGCTCTCTGTCTTCTTTTTTTATTTTACAGGTGTGGTGGCTTTTATAGCCACCACCGAGGCTTTCGTCGGACCGGTCCCTTAGGAAGCTTTCGGTGGCAACAACGTGGACGATCAGAGTCGTGGCAGCAAAGCTTCTAGAGGCTTCGGCGGCGAGGTGGCATGGCACTGGAGCGTCGACAGCTGGACGTTGGACCACCTGGCAGAGGCGGCGGCTGGCCTTTTGAAAGCATCAGAGGCGACTGGAGCTAAGGTTAGAAAACCCTAGTTGAAACGTGTAAACCCTAATTAGGTTTTAGGTCTATTAGGCCTTCCAGGTTGGGCCTGAAACTGTAATCAGGCCCCGATTTTGGGCCTTGTATATTTTGTTTAATAATATATATATATATAATAATAATATTTATAATAATAATAATAATAATAATAAACTGAAAAAAATTATTTTCTACAACACCATTACACAATTCAAGTCAATAGCCCATCTATCGCCTATGACCCACACCCTATGTGGCCTAATGAACCCAAGTAATTTAGGTTTGCAAGAAACCCTAGCCAAGGTACCTTTGCCCCCGCCACCACCGGTAATAAAAACCATTCACGCACAGTTATCATCTTTATGTGAGAATCCCAAAACAGTAGTCCCCAACGGTTCATCATTCACATCAGCAGCAGAGCCCCTCGTGTGAGCTAATGGTACCCTCTCCTTGATTATTCGCTACAAAATTATATTTTACAAAAAGGACTCTGACTTTGACAGAGCCTCACCTCCATTATACGGATGAGTGATGGCAGGGAGAACCTCCTGTGAGTATGCACGAAGAGAAAAAGAGAGGGGGAATCAGAAACAAAAAGGGGGGATTGTAATTTTTTTATCCTTTGTAATCGGGTTATATAAACCCCCAAAACCAGATTGCAAAGATCTCTCCTCATTTTTTAAAAGAAGCAATAGAAAAAGTAACAGCAATTTTTTAAGGTATTTTCCATCTTCCTTTTGATTTTCAGTGGTTTTGTGCGTGTGGGGGCAGCTATTTGAAACAAAAATAAAAGAAATAAAGGAGAGGGGAAACGTTAACTGAGTCGTTGGAGTCTCCTCATCGGAGATCCTCGCTGGACTTGAGTCGCGTCAGCAAGGAGAATATTAGGGGTTCGTCGGAGCAAAGGGAAGCCAAAGGTTGGGTCTCGGTTTAGGGGTGTCTAGGTCTTATTTATACGTTTTTGGCTCTGATTCGGATTTAGGTATATATCGAGGGATTAAGGTTATTTTGTGTGAGTTTTGATTTTACCGACCGCCGTGGATGGTGGCCAGAAGTTTAATTCGTCGCCAGTGAACAACGGCGGCCATGGCAGTTTTGGGTTTGCCAGCTTCGGCCAAGGAAAGAACAGAGTAGGTAAGTTTGAGAAAAAGCATAAAAGGGAAGATGTGTAGGTCGGGTAGGGTTTCAATTATTGAAAAAGAGAGAGGGAAAAGTTAGGTTTTATAGTTAAATCTTTTGGGTTAATTGTCTTTAGATTCTCATAGTTTTAACGTGAATTTACATTATGGTCACAAGATCCTTTTTTCTTATTTTTAACTTAAAATAAATGTCCTAATCGAGATATTTTTCCATTTATGTGTGATTAGTTGTTAGAATTTTAGAAAAAGGGAAATCAGGCATGCAGTTCTCTATTATTTTAAAGGAAATCAATTTAGTCCATTTCGAGTTTATTTTATTTTATTTTCATCATCCTATGTCATTTTTAATCCATTTTAGTCCTTAAGTTATGATTTTTCTGTTTCTGTATTTATTTGTGCTTTGCTTATTTTACTACGTGTGTGTTGTATCATATGTATCTTTTTATTTATTGTTATTTTTATTTAATTCTTTATTTGTGCCAAATGTCAGGCATGATACTAAATTTATTTTAGTATTCTGTATCCTTTGGTTTTGTTTATCTCTTAACTTTAATTTTCTTTTAAAATCTGTCTAATTCATGCTTTTTGTTTCTTTTTTTATTAATTTTTTAGATTGGAGCCCTGATTTGGTTTAACTTATTTCCCTTTATTGTTAATTAACCTTTTTATTGCTACTTTGGGTTTACATTTATTTACTTATTCATTTATTGCCTTTGAATATATCATGCTTTATTTATTATTTATTTAATTCTTTAGAATTTTAGTCTTATTTTGTATATTCTTTAATTTAGTCCCTAGTTAGGAAATTTTAACTTTAGATCTAGTCCTTGAATTTAGATTTCTTTTAGATTTAGTCCCTGATTTTTTTTTTAATTTGAGAATATTTGATTTGGCCCTCGCCTTAATGTCCGAGGGTCCAAGTCAAGTATTTGATTCAATAATTGGTTAAAATCGGTTATGATTAAAATTAGAGCCTCCACTTTAGGGTAAATTTCACTTTAGTCCCTTAATTTAGGGAATAATTTAATTTTGCATTCGTACTAAAATGCTCGAGGGTCCAAGTTGATTATTTGACTCAATAATTGGTTAAATCAATTAGGATTAATATTAGGGCCTCTATTTTTAGGTTTAGTCCACTAGGTTCTTTAAATTTCATAATTTGACACACTAGGTTAGAGAAAATCTTAATTAATTCACCTAGTATAATTAGTTTCATAAATAGTTGTGTGATTTCATTTTGATTTTAAAAATAATAAGGCAATGTTCATTTATCAATGAATTAATAGTTTATCCTCCGCGTTATGCTCAGGGATGACCACTCGTAATTCCCGAAGTAAATTGACATCATTTTCAAAACCTACATCATGATTTCTTAATTATCAAGGCAATGTTTGTTTATTGGGATCGATAACGAAGCTTTCACATAAAATGCTCGAGAGTGATCGTTATTAGTCTTGATAAGTTGATAACCTTTTTTAAAATTTGCATACATAGTGAATTTTAAATTAAATAAAACCTCGAACTTAAATTTCCAATTTTTAAATATAGGGTAATGGACTAAGTATCAATTTTCCCTCACGCGTAACTAACTCCCGAAATTGATTTCTAGTTTGCAGACTAAAATTTGGTATTTTTGATAAAATAAAATGTTCTTATTAAAACTACCTAGTTTTAGGTATTCCAATTGCACCTTAAAATGATTGGTGGAGACTCTCATCTTTTCATTAAAAATCTTTTCCAAAACCTAATCGTTGCAACTAGTCGGCTTTCTCCAGAAGGGGGCTGGTTGCGTCAATTGCGGGACAGCCCGTCGGACGCCATGAATCTACTATGTTAGAATTGTAATGGTATTGCCAATACTACGACAGTTCATTCTCTTAAGAGGTTTCATGCCTCTCGTTTATTTTCTGTTATCTTTTTAAGTGAGACAAGGTTGAGACAAAATAAAAGTGATTACATTAGGAGTTTGCTAGGTATGCATGGTTGTTTTACAGTAGACAATGGGAACAACTGTACTGACCTTATGTCATTTTGGATGAATAACATTGAAGTATATATTTTTTTCGTATTCGCCACTTCACATCAATGCTTTCATACAAGACAAGATGGATCGAATCATTATCTTTTTACAATCATTTGTGGACAATCAAATGCATCTCTTAAAACAAAAACTTGGAATATGCTTGATAACTTAAGTACGACCTCTCCTTTGTCGTGGTTATTAGGCGGGGATTTTAATGAATTTTTAAACGACTCGAAGAAACAAGGGGGTCGTCATAAGCAAAGAGTGCATGTTGATGGATTTCGTGATGTTTTACAACGTAAAGGTCTATCGGATTTATAACCTTCCCAGGGATGATTTACGTGGGTAAATAACACTCGTAACACTATAGTAAAACAGGTTTTTTGCGGCGTATTTTTTTACCTATAGTGGCATTTTTAAGCGCCGCAAAAAGCGCCGCTAAAGTTAGCGGCGTTTTCTAACAAAAAACGCCGCAATAGGTTACAACATATAGTGGCGTTTGTTCAACAAATGTCGTAATAGGGTTTGTTATTTAGCGGCGTTTGTCAGAAAAACGCCACAATAGGTGTTGATGTTTAGCGGCGTTTTCCCTACAAGAGCCGCAGTAGGTGTTGAGATTTAGCTGCGTTTTACTTACAAATGCTGCAGAAGGTTTTGATATTTTGCGGCGTTTTTCCCACAAACGTCGTAGTAGGCTTTCAGATTTAGCGGCGTTTGTATCAAAAATGACGCAATAAGGGTTGATAATTAGCGGCGTTTTCATATAAACGCCGCTAAAGTTCAGTATATAGCGGCATTTCTAGTATACAAACGCAGCTAAATGTATGGTATATTGCGGCATTTTTTTAAAAAAACACCGCTAAATAACACAGAATTTAACAGTTTAAAATAATGATTGATTACCCCAAATCTATTTTTTCAACCTGTTCCATTATCCAACAAACAAAACAACAATAACATATTCTCTTTATCCATAACAAACAACATCAAATCCAATATAATAAATAAAAAATATCATTAACGTAATATAAGTTCAGTTAAACAAGGTTCAGTAACACTAACATAATGCTCATAACATAAATGAGACTACGATGGTGGATTCTGAGGTTGCGTTTTCTGTATCATTAGCATCATATCATTGAGTCATTTTTCAAATTCTTCACATCTCTGCTGATATGATACTTCTCTCTGTGCTGTCGCTGCTTCTCTCTGTGCTGTCGCTGCTTCTTTCTCTACTTCCGCTGCTGCTCTGGCTGCTTCTGTTGCTGCTCCTCTGCTTCCCTTGCTTCATTTTCCACTTTCAAGTTAGTCGTTTGTTGATCCATCTCAGCCAACTTTTCTTTTAAACGACTAACTTCGTGGTGGGAAGATCGAGACTGTGATGACATGTACTGTGATGAGCTGGATCCAAAATATTTGGTGGGAGTAACGAATGATCCTTGACAGCGCACCCGACCATATCTTTCAGGACCCAAAACGTCATTAATATCTTGGTTTTCAATGTCATCATCATGAACAATACCTTGACTCGAAGCAATAGCATGATGCTCCGCCTTTTTCTCTCTCAATTTTTCCTAATAATAAAGTGAATAATTAATTAAAATAAAAAATGTCATGGTACAAATATAAATAAAGTCAGGTAAATTTAAAACGTCTACCCAATAAACGTACCATAATTTCTACAGCGTCAGTAGTCATAGGGGTGCCATTCTTCTTCGTATGTGTAATGTCGAAGAGTTGGATTAGACCAACTTTAGAACCAGATGTATTTTCCTACAATGAACCATAATATAATTACTATGAGTTAGTATGTACATGGAATACAAAAAACTATTTCAATAATCTATAATACATCCTCATGAGCTATACAAGCAAAGCTCTTTGATCCAGTCGTATGCGTAAACTTTTGTCGTTGCCTGCTAGCAACACCAATATGCTCTCGGTCCTACAATGTCAAACAATCACTTTTAATGATGATTTAAAATTCGTTACAATTATTTCTGAAAAATACATCATACATGTCCTTTTTTTGAACTCCAAAATCTGACTGCATCTTCCCATTGGTACCTGAGCATTCCTGGTGAGACTTTTTGCTACTTCTCTTCAAGGCTGAGATCATTCTTGAAGTATTTCTTCTTTAAGGAGCTCTTCTGGTCCCTCAATCTCTTCCCTAACGCTTGCTTCACATAATCGTCAGAGACCTCTAAAGAAAATTTCTCCTATACAGCAAATAAGTGTGCACCGTAAGTATAAATTAGTATTGAATTTCTATAGAGTATCTATTATATTGACATTATTACCTTAACAAAATCCAACGCTTGATTTTTTTACTATTAGCCATTTCGCGCCATGACTCGTAATTGATCGGTAACAAATTCGCATTAAGTCCAACTATGCCTAAGTAACCTGCTAGAAGACGTGATTCTGGGCCAATAGGTTGATCGGCATCATTTCTTGAAACTTTGACACGATGCCTAGGAGGAAGTTAGTATAATTCCTTCAAAGTTGTACGTCCTCGAGTCTTGCGCGTTCCAGCATTTTCAACTATATAATAAATTATTAAATGCCAGTTTTGAAAATGAAAAAAGTAGTAAATAATGTTTCGAAGATTACTTTGAATTTCTACTTCTTCTTCAACAGTTTCAGGAACTTCGGAAGACTCAGGTGCATTCGATTCCTCGTTATTTCTTTCTTCATGGTCTTCAGAAGCTCGAACAACCCGCAAATCAGTTATTTTTCTCCTCGACATGATATCTATAATAAAAAAACATGAGTAATAAAAAAACATGAGTAATAAAAAAATGAATTAATTAATGAATATATTGAAAGACAACATGTTAAAGGTTATAACATTATAAATAAATAAATGAAGATATAAAATCGTACAAAAGTCTTATGTAATGTCAGTTGCCATAAATATCTTCATCAACGTCCTCCCGAACCCATTGAAATTGTGTTGTATTAGTGATAGTTTCATCTAATTTTTTGTGGTAGTAGAGGTAAACATTCTGATCTT